TCAAACTAGTGTAATTTCAATTTAAGTAGTTAGTTAATTAGTTAGTTAGCTTTATTTGTATGTATAAGTATGTATGTGTGTGTATATGTGTTTTGGTATATACTTTCTTGTAAAATACTCTTCAGAAATTGGAGGTAATAAAGATTTTAAACTGACTGACTGACTGACTGACTGAATGATTCGTGTGAATTTTCCCCACTAATCACAATATTGTGAAGTTTCGAAGAAACTTCACACTAAAAAGGACTCTCTCTCTCTCTCTCTCTCTACACATGCATGTTCCCTCCTGCGTATGCGTGTATAACTAGTGCTTCATATAATCAATATATAACAACTGCCCCTGTTTAAGTGTGTAAAAAAAATGTAAAACTTTATTTCAATACGCTAACTTCGACAATTATTTACAACTGGTTTCCACGAAGGGCGTATACACACAAAGAGCTAAATGTTAATTATATATAGAACAAAATATGTAAGAATCCCACCCTAAAATTTTATCATCATCCTCCCAAACCTCCACCCCCTAAACAAGTACCCACCCACCCTCACGCAAAACTAACCCCCCTCCCGCCCACAATCTATATTGTCCTCCCATCATTTGGTCCTGGAGAAATTAGCTTATCATCTTCTTAAATGCAATTTCGCCATTGTTTTAAATGACGTAATTGACTCAGCCGCCTTGACATCTTGCGGGAGACTATTCCATAGAATTGCTCCACTGTATCCAAATGTTTTCTTTAGAAATTCCGTTTTCGGTTTTTTTAACGAGAGATCAGTTTCGCTATTGCGTAAATCATAAATATTCTGTGATGCATTTCTCCGAGAAAAAAGATCTTTAAGGTTTGGCGCAGTGTTGTTTCCCATCACTGTAGACGTTAAAACCGAAACATAACACAACAATCTACAAAAGTTCAAAATGTTTGTGTCCATTTTACTAGTAAGTCCTCCATAGCCCAGATCTTTACTTTTCGTGGTAGATGGGGTGAACGTATCGAACTCGTTCGTAACTACACTTGGTACTGCAGGTACATTATCCTCCGTGTGCGCAGGAACTGTTTCTCTTTTGTTTGACTCCGCGTCTTCGTTTCTGGGAACACATTTTGTTCCAGCTCGACTTCGCTTGTTCCGCGTTTTGAAAACTAGGTATGTGTCATGGACGCAATTGTTCTTCATGTCGTTTCCACATAACATCACCCACTTTCACGTCACAATTTCTAGGACTAATTATCTTTGTTATAACCCCTGGAAGCCATCGTGCTCCTTTGCCAAAATTTCGTGCAAATACTACTTGATACTGACTGTACTTTGGTTTATTATCTAGATTATCTTGAAATATTTTGACATTTTTCGATTGCTTCGCTCTAAACGCACTGAATCGGATCCTTGGTTGCCTGTTTATTAGCAACTCTGATGGTGACTTTCCTAACCCTGTAGGGGTAGCTCTGTACGTAAGCAAAAACCTGTCTAGTTTGGTCTGGAACGGCTCTCATGAATACCCCATTTTCTTTAGTTTATCTTTAAATTACCCACATACCTAACTGCCAATCCATTCGTTGCAGGATGTCCTGGAACGGTAGTAGTATGTTGAATACTGTTATCGTTCAGAAATGGTAAATTGTCTACCATTATCTGAAACAATGTGTTCAGGTAGTACAAAATTGCTGAAAATATGTCGTAAGGCTGTAATAGTGGTAGTCGAAGTAGCATTAAACATTGGGACAATCTCAAGATGCTTTGAATAGGCGTCGACTACGACTAAGAACATTTTCCCTAGATAGGGACCTGAGAAATCTATGTAAATACGCTTCCAAGGGCCTCCAGGCCAAGACCATGACGCTTGTTGAGATGCATTTGGTGGTTTGGCTTGTTCTTGACATGCCATACAAGACTTAACTGTTTCTTCGATTTCCTTGTCAAGTTTAGGCTACCATAAGTATTTACGCGCCAATTAACTGTTTCGATCATCTTCCTATTCCGAAATGTTCGGCATGTAATTCATTCAGCAGAATATCGCGTAATGATCCTGGAATTACAATTCGAGTGTCCCATAACAAAATTCCATCTTCATGTGATCATGATAATTCTAACCGCCTAGTATGATAAGGTAGTAATTCAGGTTGCGGTTTTTCTGGCCGCCCATTCTTCGTAAAATCCAGTACTTTACTTAACACTGGATCTTTCTTAGTTTCCATGGCAACCATTGTGGAATTAACGATTTGTTCTCCTTCGGTAAACATGACTCGAAACTCAACGTGTTCCTCCGGAGTTGGCTGTATGTTAATAGGTTTCCTTGAAAGAAAATCTGCATAGACATTTTCTTTTCCAGAAATAAACTCAATCGTGTAGTTGTATGCTGCTAGAAGAAGGGACCATCTCTTGATCCGTGCCGACGCTAACTGTGGAACTAACTTATGCTCTCCCAGTAAGGTTATCAACGGTTTATGATTTGTTAGGAGTTTAAAATGTCAGCCAAGAAAATAGTGGCGGAATCTTTGTAACTCCAAATACAATTGCTAACGATTCACGTTAAATTTTAGCGTAATTTTTCTCAGCTGCATTAAGAGTTCTAGAAACGTATGCTACTGGTTGTATAATGAGCCATCGTGCCCAGACTGGAGCAGTACAGATCCAACTCCTATAGAAGATGCATGCATCACACTGGAGTAGCAGCTCAGCAGCTGGGTCATAATGTCTTAATATATGCTCCCCGTTCAGTTTTACTCCATTTCCATGGCGTTCCTTTCCGAAGTAATTTGTACAAAGGTGCCATAATTTCTGCAAACACTCGCACAAACTTACGCAGGAAATTTGCTGTACTAATAAAAGATTGTAACTCAGAAACATTTGCCGGGGGGGCGGCATCTTTGATTGCTTGCACTTTCTCCTCTGTAGGTGAAATGCCGGCTTTCGAGATTGACATTCCCAAAAAGATAACTTCACCAAGCATGAAATGGAATTTCTCACGCTTGAGTTTAAGTCCGCTCTCTAGTAATCTTTACAGAACACGATGCAAATTCTCCATATGAATCTCATCAGTTTCACCTGTTACCAAGATATCATCAATCCGAACACAACACCCTGAAGACCATTGAGTACATTTTCTATGGTACGTTGGAAAATGTACACCGCACTGTTTATACTGGTATAACCCGTGATGCGTATTTTTGTTGTGTGCTTCCTACTTTCAGGGGTGAGTTCTAATTGATGGTATGCCTGCGAAAGACCAAGTTTGGTAAATTTCTTCCCCCCTAAAAGGTTGCTTAATAACTCTTCAAGTGTAGGTACTGGATATTGTTCTAATATATGTAGTTGCCAGGTTAATTGTACCAGAATAATCTCCACAGATCCTTATATTGCCATTAGGCTTAATCACAGGAACAGTCGGCGAAGACCACTCCGAGCTGTGCTCTACCTTTTCAAAAGGTACCACTCTGGGTTTCATAAACACTGGGATATCATCATTTACTCTTAATGACACTTGTACGTACCCCTTCAGTTTTCCTGCTTTTCTTTCATCAACAAGTTCAGGATATTGCTGTATAATATCCTCTGCAGTGGTAGGAACAACACTGAAAATGTTATGCCACGGTAGTCTAAATTTAGTCATAGTAACGCGTCCTAGTAGTGATGGTCCTTCAACAACTCGAATTTTTATATCACTTACTTGTTCACCCACTTTGACTTTCATGTTGTCTTCTCCATAACACTTGATTTCGTTTCCAGTATAACTTATAAATAGCACTGTAGCAGGTTTCAATTTTGTGTTACCACCCATTCTTTCTAAATCACTAGAATTTAATAATGGTACTGAACGTCCAGTATCAATTTCCATGGAGACTTCTCGGCCGTTAATATTCACTCCCAATTTGTATTTTTGTCCCACAGAATTTACACTCTGTATAAATATAGTTACTGGTGTACCGTTAACAGAATCCAGATCACCAACACTGTCACTAGATTCATCAGTAGGTGTTGCTACAATGTTATGTGCTTTGGCATTGCTTTCTGCCTTCTTTTCCTTGAAACATACTTTTGCTAAGTGTCCCACTTTTTGCAATAGTTACATGTTGTATATGTATGGCTGCACTTGTCCGCCAAATGTTGTGTAGATCCACATCTGAAACAAGTTTCCCTTGCTCAAAATATTTTGCCTTGTTTGCATCCCCGCCTTTGAATGAATATTTCTTCTTGTTTGATATACTGTGGACTTGTGGGGCTTCCGTTCTTTCGGCACTGAGAAGCAATTCTTTCGATTCTTTCTCTGCTAGCTCATCTGCTTGGGCAACGTATAGTGCTTGGTCAAATGTCCTGTCTTCAGAAAGGAGTTTCTTTCTAGTACTTCTACTTCGAACGCCCACAACAAATTGATCTCGTAATGCCCTTGTAAGATTGGTGCCAAAATTACAATGAACAGCAAATTGCATATTGAACTACACTTTCGCTTTCCGTTTGAACTGCCTGATGAAATCGATATGTCTCTGTAGCGACTTCGAGTACTTTCGGTTTGTAAAATCCTTTGAGTATTGTAATAATTTTTTCGTACGACTTTTCAGCTGGTACATCGGGAAGGCAGAGATCCTTCAATGTACTGTATGTGCTTTTCCCAATCACAGAAATAGTTACGGCGACTTTCTTTTTGTCTGCAACTTGTTTTGCAGTTTTATTTGCATCTGCTGCGACTTGGCCAATGTTATTTGCAATCAAATATGCATGCAGTCTCTCACTCTAATCTATAAAATCAACGCCATCGAAAGGTTCCAGAACGCCGAACCATGGACGTATTATTTTGCTCGGCCATGTAATTTTAATCCTCGTCGCCAATTTGTAGTGTATTTCTCGTGTAACCGAGTAAGGAATTGAATGCCAAAAATACCCTTTTATTTAAAGATAATTGTAATAACGACTATTTCCAACTAGGGATCCAAGGATAGTGCAAAGTTTGAAAAACTAAGGTAAACATTGTTCATAGCTTTGCAACTCAATTGTTCAAATGATGTGGCCCGCGAACTACTCCGACAGTAAAAATATGAGTAATTTAGTACTTCATGATAACATAACTACAAGATAGTGTTTAGATAATTTGATTTGCCCATATCATATTAGTGGCAAGGCTTAATTCTGGTAAACTATTGTCTTTCTTTAAGTAGCTATAATTGACATCAAAACTAACGAATTTACAGAGGAGATGTGCTTGCTTAAGTCAACAATGTTTTTTTATGACAGGCAAGGTCTGTGATAATACATGAATTACGTTCGTATATGTGTGTTGTCACATTGACTTCAGTTCTAGAAAAAATCTGTCGCATCATTGTGGTTATTGATGTGAGAGCTTCTTGCCATTCAAAATCGTTTCAAACTCTCCTTTAGTCGGTCAGGTAGCTATAACCATGCATCTGCGCGAGCTGAAAAATATAAAATAAAATTATAGAGCGGGCTGGAAAAATAAACTAGGCTGCGAAAAGTAATGGGATAGTAGTTAGTAATGGGATAGTGTTATAAAATAGTATAGCCCCAGACAACTATTATTAAATATAGCCATAATTTATAAAACAATTTAGTTTGATTTTTATGGCTTTATTTAAATTTAAAATAGTTGTCAGGGCTATAATATTTGTAACAAAATTTGACACCAACTGAGGGTACCGTCTGTTCACAGACTATATATATGAGACGATACAGCACGCAAATTATATTTCTATATCAGAAAAATGCTGTTTCTATATGACTATGTTTTAATAGCAGATTAATTATAGATTTAATATACAGTAGATGAGCGTGCCATAAATGCGGAACTAGACAAAAATGTACATATAGATGTGATATACTAGATAGTAGACAAAGGTATTATATTTCATGTTATTTATAAAATAACGTGTCTGCAGTCTGCCAACAGTCAGAATATAGTTGTATAACAAAATTTCGTGATATAAATTGAGCTACGAGATTTAAATTGACAATTGAAATATCCCTATAAAGAAAATTATAAATAGACATGCAAAATACATCAGAGAATTAATGAGTAAGTGCGATATAAAACTAACCACCTGCATGCAAATAAATAATATATCGTGAACATGCACGTAGTAATCATTAGCAAATAGCAATGAATTGAAGGCAACGTACCTTAAATCATGGGCAAAATCGCACACAACACTTTCAACATTGTAGATATCAGTCACCCCTATTTTGGATATTTTCAAATCGGCAAATGGTCAACATATATATAGACATGTTTTGACTTCTGTGGCGAAACTCGGGCCTAATATGAAATGCGCGAGTTGAGCCCTGAAATATATAATGGTAATTGAACTGAGTGGAGTGCAATTTGGTCTGAAATCAAACGCGAAGCGGAAGTGCGATTTGTAATCACAAGTTTGATTTCAGTCCAAAATTGCACGACACGAAGTTCAATTTCCACTTTATTATATCCATTTTGAAATTTTAAATATTTTTGTATACCGGAGACGTTTTTGTTTGCAAAAGACATACCTCCGGTACCTCCCTGAGCGCTGTAGCATAGCAACAATAAGCGAACAAGATGATTGAACTCAGTTTTGTTAAATTGCAGCTTAGCTTATTAATAATACGTTCAAAATACTACAAAAATGTTAAAGAAATGAAGACATTTATAAAGAATAAGAGACAACACAAGTAAGTTTAAACATGTTGTAGGTTTTAGGAGTGATTTGAAAGAGTTTTGATCAGGTTTTTGCGTTTAAAATTGGAAATACGATAGGCGAATTTACCTTTGTTTTCCCTGAGGCCTGACGCTTTAAATTTGCTTTTGTTGGCATTTTGCCCGTTACTAGTATTTGTAAAATTTCAAAAAAATTATAATTCTTTGCAATTCTTTGATAGTTTACTGTAGCTATCCATCGTTTCCGCAACATTCAATACTCCTAGTTTGTCATTGATCGTACTTACTTGAGACTTGTTTGTCATTGAGTCTGTAGGTCAACAAAAATCCACTTCTGGACCCAATCTCGTCAGTTGTAAAATGAAATAAGACATTGCCATCATTGTATGTTGCCACGCTGCTGCCGGCAGATCGTATACCACACACGAAATTATTTAAATTGTTGTCCTCAACCGCCAACCTGTCTTTCTCGCACCGGGCAGCATCTGTAGCAAAGAAGACTTTATAGAATAGATTTTGAAAATGGCAAAGTAATTGACAAAAGCGACCATTGACGGGTACCCACCGTGGAAGCCTAGGACACGGCAATTACAAAAAAATGCTGAAAACTATTCTAAATATTTCCAAAACAATACCGGTTTATATTGTAGAATCTTTAAGTGTTATTATAAATCTATTAATACCTCAGTCATTAATTATATATATATAGGCGGAAATGTCATATGATTCTAAACTCCTTGTAATTTATCTCATTGTTGAACACCCGTTGAAGACTGCAGTCTGGAAGTCGAAAGCTTGTCAAATTAATAATTAATATTTTAAACAGCAGAGAGCGTCCGAAAACTCAATATGAATAATCCTGGTTTCGCCTCGAACATCTTTAAAGTTTACCGTTTCATAGAAAAATACCGTGATATGATTCAAATTCCGCACCTTTTGTGTGTTAAAATGCAGTGAATCTAACGTAAAATGGACCTGTGCCGTAAATGATCATATAAAACAAGGAAAATTAGATTTTGTGGCAATATTTGCTCATAACAATTTAACAATTTGGCAATTTAAAGAAAACGACATCAGATACAGAAGGAGAAGTGCATGGAAGGTTCTTGTATTTTGACTGTAAGATAACCATGAAATTTAGCCAGGAATATTAGGGCAATATCTTGGTTGACCAGGAAAATTTTAACCAGAGTGTTTTTGGTGTCCTATTGTAATTGTTTTATAGTGTTATTGTTCTGCACTTACACTGAATATCGTAAAAGTTGAAGAAAATTTCGACTTCCTTGTTTGAAGGGACATTCAGGGTAAGAGAACAGTTCAGATTGGGGCCATAGTTACCACCGAATCCAGGCGAGTGGACACGACCAATAGCACTGGGGGTTATTGATCTGGTCGGACACACACTCACTGCTGGAGGCAAACCGTTTCCTAGAAAAAATAAACATAGGAATATTGTATACATAGGTGATAATCAAAAATGCAATCTACCTTTGGCATGTTATCTTGCGACAGATTTTAAAAATATTAGATGTATTTTTCTCTTCTAATCAATTGTACGAAGGGAGGACAGAGCGCTAGCTACCAGATAGCAATTTTTTCATGTTTTCTAAAATTTTCTGCTTATTGGTGTAATCCAGATAAAACTTTAGTATTTGTAAATTGAAGTTTCTTATAAATTGTGGCTTCGATATCCGTTTAGTGTCGGACCTGTATAGGAGTTTGTATGCGTTACATTTACTAATTTTATTAGTTACTCTATCAGA